CTAGTCATGTGTGTTTGCAAAGTAGCAAACATGGATTTACGTGATATGTAATTCACAGGCAAATTGAGTTGGCCAACCCCTTCAGCAATATGCCTATCCAAAGAGGTATCCTTAACTGGCAGTCATTCTATTGTGCACTTCACCAAATGTCTGGCGGGACAGCAGGAAGGACTTATCACACAGTGTTACATGCTGAAACAGGCTGTCTTTTTCCACAGGGTCCCATTTTCATATTGGATTTGAAATACTAAAATCATCAAGAAGGAAAAAAAATTTCACAAGGAGGGCCATCAAGTCAATATCTTGTTTGCTGTGTTGGGTTGGGGGGGAGGAGGGAAGCAAACCACTTGACAGGATAATCTATTCAATGGCTAGGATTTATTTTAACAGTCAGTTCTGCAGTCCTTTTAACTTGAGAAGAGAAGTGAACATTCTGATAACAGCTGCCTCCAGGTCAAATGTGATGAGAATTCATAAGTCACCGCCTAGCGGCTTTGGAAAACCAATGAAGCAAAACAATTTCCGAGAATAAGTCGATGAGGATTCACATTTTTCTTCACAATGTCATACACGGTGCTGATATCTGTTGGAGTGGCTGCTTATTCTCTCTCCACAATTTGCAAATAAAATGCCTTCTGGACTATGTTGAATGTGAGCCGTTACTGTAACCACAGTTTTGCTGGGTTCCCATAAAGGATTGAGATGTCAGATCTTTAGGCCATCAAAGAAGAAATAGTAATCCAGCAATAGGAGTATTCCCATTTTTAATCAAAATAAAGTCTTGTTCCTTAGTCTTGGCTCCACTCCCCAGTAATGGTAGCTTGAAGCAAACGTTCCAGTAGATGTAGATATGGTGCCACAATATCACAAACACAATCCTGGTGCCAATAATGTGAATGGCAAAACTTTCATTGACTTCAGTAAGGCCAATTTCTTGCCCTATATTTTGGGATTTCACAAGCATGATGAAGGGTGGGTCTGAAAAAGAGCCAGACAGCTGTGAAATGTGAAGATCATTACACCTTTCCCTATTGCTTGTTTCTTAAGTCCTTCCACTGGGTTGCACTATTGCTCGATAACATATTTATGTTGCAAGTAAAGGCTGCTTGAGCTTCCATGTTGCACTACACCTTGGGTTAGTAGGGCCTTCTCCCCTCCAGAACAGTGATTCACCCTCCCCATAGCTTATAGTCTTCCTCCTGGCTGCCCAGGGGGCCAGCCAGGAGGAAGAGGCTAGGAAGTAATTTGGAGAACGCTTAGCCAGGGGTAGAAGAGACCTAACGGGGTGTCTTGCTACTTGGGTAAGTGCCCTAACCAGCAGGCGATTGGCCTAAGGAGTGTTTTATACATGCCCCAGCCATTTTATTCTCCCTAGGTGCCTATTCAGCTGCAGTGCAGCCTTCTGAGCATACTCGGAAGGGAATTGCACAAAGGGCCTAGCTACTTGGGATCCAAACTCTGCTCAGGGTATGTGGTTATGTGAGTGTCACTTAGGTGCAGAAACAGGAAATAGAATTTAACCCGTTATGTTTTGTTTGGAAAACTAGGACCCCTTGCTCCAGAGCCCAAGACAGTCTTTGCAGGTAAAGCATTCTCTTTTACAATGAAGCTGGACAGAAAGACCCAGGTGATGAATCACTTGCTAAGCAGGAAATGAAGATTTAGAAATGAAAATGGAAGAAACAGCAAAGGAAGAAACTTGGCACATGACCCTCATAGTCCACATAGACAAATAGATACACATATATGTGGTGTCTGACCGGCTTGCCGGGCTTTGGCTGGGAGCCCAGAATGTCAGGTGGGTACTTCGATGGGTGGAGTGAAATTAGGCACAGACACGTATTGGTTGCAATTAGGTTGTTTACTTACGCTACTGATGTACACAGCGTAGACAGAAAACTGGCTTAAGTTGCGGTTACAAACGTAACGAGGGCCCCTTGGAACGAGATGAGACATTTTATAGACGGCTTATTGAGCATGCAGGGGAGGGGGTACGTCAGGAAGGTCGGTGACGGGGAGTCATTGGTGGGTGATCAGTCCGCCAAGTTTACTCCATGATGCGTGCGGAGTTCTCCAACTTGGGCGGAAACTGCTTTTACTTTTATATGGATAGCAAGCCAATTGCTAGTTGCCAAGTGGGAATAATTTGTAACCGGCCAATGGGTGGCGCTCGTTTGAACGATGCGGCCATTGGACTTGGCGGGCTTTTCTACTGTGGCGGAATTTTTACTGTGCCAATCACGAGGGCTCGGGGATTTTCCACTGTGCCATAGGCATTCAATTAATGGGTTCTGACAATATACATTACCGTGCACACAAATGCCCATATGTAATACATGAACACATATGCAGACATGTACACATACAAGCATATTTAACTCCTCCTTCCCTTTCTACCCTCACCTTTGAGCTGCTAACAACTGCTGCCTTTTCTTCCTCTACCACCTAAGAAGAAACATAGCCTCATGGTCATATTATCTTATTTGATATGAGTGCTACTGTGCAATCATTGCAAAACCCTCCAACTTCCCTCACGTAATTTCTCCAATGCCATTACAAGATCTGATGGCATATTGAAAACTGAATAAGCAGTGACAATGATGACAAAGGAAACTTAACATCCAAATAAATAACACTGCATGGAAGGCTGTACTGATTGGAGATTTTTTTTATTTCATACAGTGAGATCCTTCATTTTTAAATGTATCAGACACTGCCACCAAATTACCACCATAGGATCTGGGAACCTTGCTGCACGACTTTGATATAGCTTGCTGTGCTGCCCTGCAAGAGGGACCTAGTCTATATTCTGGTGTGGTTACATGGCAACTTGTATTAGTATCTAAATGGGTAAGAAAGTATTTCTTTGCATTGCTACTCTAAAAACAAATTGCTCAGTTTATGCACAGACTACTGAATACTATAGATGGCCACTGAAGATTTTAAAGATGTCCACCATACCCTCTAAGATGGCCCAAACACCTAATTCTCAAACACATTGATAATGGTTGCCTAGGCACATATGGTAACACTTTTGGACCACCTGCCTTATTTAGGTATAAAACAAGGGATCCCATAGGAGCATAGGGCTGCACTTCAAAATTTGTCCTGTTTTGGGTTTTTTTGAGTCTGGCTAATAAGAATTGGGGCAACTTGCCATAATAAACATGCTCTGGTAATAGTTCTGTCTTGCACATCACAAGACTGGAAAGTCATTCTCATTTGTTTTCTCTCCCTCTGGTCCAACAGCTATCTGATTTTTCCAGGCCAGGGGGAATAGTGTCAAGTGGAAGGACAAAATGCTTCTTTCCTGACCTTAGAAAATTAGAGCCTAGTGGTTATGGTAGTTTCCTTGGAAATATGAGCTGGAATCCCCTCAGGCAGGAAAGGCAATTGTCCTTTCATTTACCCACAGCTCTGGATGACCAATCCAGCTACAGAGATACTATAAAAAGGGATGGGTGCTTGATCCTTCTCTTGCACTAGCAAATAAAGCCAAAATCTCAGCTCTTAATTAGAGCCTAGTGGTTATGGTAGTTTCCTTGGAAATATGAGCTGGAATCCCCTCAGGCAGGAAAGGCAATTGTCCTTTCATTTACCCACAGCTCTGGATGACCAATCCAGCTACAGAGATACTATAAAAAGGGATGGGTGCTTGATCCTTCTCTTGCACTAGCAAATAAAGCCAAAATCTCAGCTTTTTTTTTTTTTTTTTTTTTTTTTTTTTTAAAGAAAGATGCCTACCTTTGGGGGAGGGTTCACAGCTACCAGTTTCAAAGGGAAGATGCCTCTTCCATTTAGCAATGAGCAAGATGCCAAAGCTGCCAGTACTGGGCAGAATTGGACCCTTGTCATCATCACTTCCTATTAGCTAGGTCAGATGGTTCTTTGCTAAGTGTGCTGGTCAGTTTGGGTACCATTTGGAGAAACTTCACCCTTCCCATGCCCCATTCAGGGAGCCTAGGGGCCTAATTCAGTACTCTGGATTCTGCTGAAGGCTGAATGCCTAAAAATTAGACACTGTGGCACATGAGTCCCTTAGTGGACCTAGTTCTAAGTGACATGCTCAAGGTCACACAGGATATATGTGACAGAGAAAGAAATTGAATCTAGGTTTTCTCCCTAAAATATAAGAACGATGTCAGCATAGTTCAGCTCAGATGTTTCCTTGCCAGTGGCACACCCCCATGAGTGGGAACATGTGTTCCCCAGGGACAGATAGCAGTGGCCCATATTTGTGCTGCTGCTAGTTGCTCCCAGGGAACACCCCTGCATATGCACTTTGGTACCTGGGCTGGCCCTAGCAGCCTTACCTGGGATCCTGGGGGCCTCCCGGGGCTCCAGCGGTGACAATCTGGGCACATGGAGCCTGGCCAGCAGCTGGAGCATGGCTCTGGCTAGCCAGGCTCTGGTATCAGGAGGTGTACACTGTCACCACATGCACGACCCCGCTTTTTTCTAGGGGGCACTTTTTGACACCAGGATCTCCAGGTATCAAAAAAGCTACCACACTGCAAATTAGCAGTGCGAGGAATGCCTGCATGCGTGGCACGTACAGTTTGCAGTGCCACTGATGGGTCTGCGGTGCTACAAACTGCATGTGCACGCTTTTCTGGATGTGCCCAAGGGCATTTTAAGGGAGTTTCTTCTTTTTGCTCCGACTTAGGGCCAGATCCATTGCCAAGTGAAGGCAGTAGACTTCTTTCCCTTTACTTATCCAGAGAACCCTTCTGGTTTGGGGATTGAAAACATCCTGGCTCTAACCCAGAGGCAGCTTACAAGGCTTCTGGTTAAAATGCCAGAAGCCACACCAGCTGACCCACTGCAGGTTTAACATGGGGGTTCCTGGCTTCATAATAATACATCAGCCTCATAGGAAATGACCAAAGGAAGAGATGGAGCCTATCTTTTGGAAATCCTAACCTGGACCTTGTCTTTCCCAGAGATAAACAATGAACCACTAACACTGATCTTTCTTTTCTCCACCCTTTAAGATTCATGGAAAAGCCAGAATGTTGAGGAAGATCCAAATTTTGCTTGGTGTCTTTTTTGTCTTTGCTTTTGGCATTTTGTATGAGTTCTCTCGACACCCAGGCTGCCTCTTCTCATGTATGCCCATTGCCAAGAAGCTCCCAACATTCAAAGGAGTTATCAGCCAGGGCAACAGCATCATTTTTCTGGAGACCACTGACCGGCTTGAACCTTCTCCATTGGTTTCTTGCTCTGTCGAATCTGCTGCCAGGATCTACCATGACAGACCTATTGTTTTCTTCATGAAAGGGCTGAAAAGCAACATAAGGTGGGATCCAAAGAACACCTCCACAGCCTTCTCACTTTTATCTGCTCTCAAGAATGTCTTCATTGTCCCTCTCCAGATGGAGACTTTACTCCAGAAGACACCTCTACTTTCATGGTACCATAAGGTGAGTGGAAATATTAAAGGGGCTGAGGTGCTGAGTACATGGGGGCCTGAGGGCCCTGGCCCACCTCGGGAAGAACAGAATGAAAGAAATGTGAGATTCTGCATAACAGGAAGGGATGACCAGATTTGATGAACCTTCAGGCCACTGCACACTGCTTTAATGTGTGCGGGAGGGCCCCGGACCCTGCCAGAGTGCCCCCCAGGGTAGACAGCCCCAGCCGTAGCCAGCCTACCAGAGGCATGACACGGATGGGGACCG